TTTTCAATAAGACTTTTCTTTCCACTTTATTTTTTAAAATGTCCAAATCTTCTAGAAGCAAAATTAAATATGTAGAAAGGATTAGAAATACATACAATTGATGATTACTTAAAATACTCAAACAAATCTCTTATGTGACATAATTTGATTGTGTAACACAAACTCAAACTCAAATTAATTAAGGTTAGAACTTGATATGTTGATTATTGATATTCAAATTATTTAATTTTATAATTTTTTTTCTTTCTCTCCTCACTAAAACTGTTTCACGCATTAACAAATTAGTATCTAGAGCCTCAGTTAATTTTTTGATTGTGTTTTCAAAAATCACACGTCGGTGATCGTGTTTTTAGGATCATGGTTGTTAATCGTATTTGTTGCAAATATGAATGGTAACATTGAGATTCTGAATTTTCTTCTAATTTTTTACGACAAAAATTAGATTCGATGGAGAAAACAGATGAAATCTCTGTTTAGCTTTCATGAAACCCTATAAGAGGTCACTAATTGCGTTCCTGAGCTTGCTGAGAATGCAACTGATGCTCAGAGAGTCACGAACAAGGAGGCTAAAAAGAAAGGCTGCAAGGCTGCATTTTATATTCAATCAATGGTATATGAGGTGAACTTTTATCGAATTTCTCATGCTAAATCATCAAATGAGACATGGGATATTCTTATCAAGTATTACGAAGGAGATGAGAAGGCTAAAATCGTCAAATTGTAGGCTTTGCGAAGGCAGTATAAATTACTGCAGATGGGAGAAGAAGAAAATATTACAGGCTAAGTATCGAAGGTGCAAAAGCATGTTCATCTCATGAAAGGTTGTGGTGAAACCCTAACTGATAAGATGATAGTTGAGAAGGTAATGCGTACGTTGACCTCTCACTTTGATCACGTTATCGTTGCTATTCAAGAATCAAGCAATCTTGAAACATTGAAATTGGAAGATTTGGTTGGTTCATTTGAGGCACATGAGATGAATATTATCGAAATGAAAGGTGTTCATTTCGATACAAGCACTATAGGCTCAAACATGGAAGAAACATGGAAGTTCCAACTAGTTTAAAGGCAAAGGAAACAAGACTCATAGCATGAAGTCTTGGTCGAATCCTCAAAAGCATAAAGTCGGTGAAAGGAATTCTGAATCCTCGTAAAGAGCAGAAGAAAACTCCTATCAGAAAGATAAAGAAGAGAAAGAAAAAAAGTGTGCAGTGTTATAACTATGAAAAATGGGGTCACTTGACCAATAATTATTAGTACAGGAAAGACAAAAGAGCGATAAAAGGCAAGAAAAAATGAGAAAACCTTGCGCGCCAAGATTTAGATGATTTTGAAGACATGGTAGTTATGGATGCAGTTGCAGATGAGTGTGTCGACACCAAGATCTGGTTTCTTGACACAGGTTGTTCGAATCACATGACTAGTCGAAAAATGTGTTTAGCAGATTTCGACGATTCGAAGAAGAGCAAGGTCAAACTTACTGATGATATTTCATTGAAGCAGAAGGTACTTGCGACATAGTTATTAAAAGGAGCAATGGAGCAAAAGCTATGATCAATGATGTACTTTATGTACCTGGATTAAAGTGAAATCTACTAAGTGTTGGACAACTGGTCAAAAAAGATTTATCTGTGGTTATGAAATATGGAACCTTTAAACTATACGACACTCAGAATAATCCAGTCTTAAAATCTCCTATGTCAAAGAACAAGACATTTAAGACCATGGGCAATTCGACTGGGGTACAATGCCTAAAAACAATTGTCGACCACAAGAGCAATTAGTTGCGGCATTTAATATTTGGCCATCTAAATTTTAGGTCACTCAATTAACTGATTACTCTATATATGATAATTGGTATACTAAGTCTTGAAATGCCCGACAAACTCTGCGAAGGTTGTTTAGTAGGGAAGCAATTCAAAAAGTCTTTTGTTTCTCTTTTATTTCTACAATTCCAATGAGGTCCTCTTGCATACTAGAAGTAGTACATTCAGATGTATGTGGCCCTTTCCAGGATCACACCATTGGTGGAATAAGTATTTGAAATCTTTAAGAGATTCAAGATGCTTGTTCAAAACCAAAGTGAAAAGAATGGCAAGGTTCTACAAACAAATGGAGGTGGCAAATACACATCCAAGATATTTGAGGAGTTTTGTGCAGTACATGGTATTAATCATGAGGTAACTGCTCCTTACACACCTCAACATAATGGAATAACAGAAAGAAGAAACATGACCATATTGGATATGGCTAGATGCATGTTAAAGTAGAAGAACTTGCCAAAGTCCTTATGGGGTGAAGTTGTCTCCACAACTGTATATATTCTAAACAGGTGTCCTACCAAGAAGTTGAAGAACAAGGTTCCTAAAGAAGTATGGAGTGGAAAACGACCATTAGTGAGTCATCTAAAAGTGTTTGACTCTATTTTCTACAAGCATGATCTTGATGCAAGAAGAAGGAATTTTGATGATAAAAGTGAACCTATGATTCTAGTTGGATATCACAAAGTTGGAGCATACAGGTTATTCAATCCAATCAATGATAAGATCGTGATTAGTCAAGACATTGTGATTGAAGAGAATTCTTCCTGGTATTGGAATTCAGGTGATTCGACTAACAAGTCATTGATGGGCTATAAAGTTGATGAAGAAAGTAGTGATGATGAAAGTATTGGGTGTTCAAGTTGAAGCATAATGTTGATGGGTCGATAATATGAAATAAGGAAATATTAGTAGCTTGAGGATTTCTTCAGAGAGCAGGACTCGACTAGTATGAAGTATATGCACCACTAGCAAGATTAGAGACTGTTTGATTAGTGGTAGCCTTGGCCTATAAGCAAGATTGGTCGACATTTCACTTAAATGTGAAATTATTATTTTTGAATGATCCTCTAGATGAAGAGGTATATGTCACACAACCTCCTGAGTTTGTGATACAGGAGGAAGCAAGGAAAACATACAGGTTGCACAAAACGTTATATGACCTTAAGCAGGCACCTAAGGCATGGAACAAGAAGATTGACTCATACTTGGTCTAATTGGGATTTATCAAATGATAATCTGAGTGTGGTGTCTATGTTCAGATTGTGGCACAAGATATAACAATCATATGCTCTTATGTCGATGATATGTTAGTAACTGGAAATAGCTTGGATAACTTGTCGAAGTTCAAAGAGCTGATGAAGAAGGAATTTGAAATGTCGAATCTAGGAAAGTTGTCGTTTTTCTTAGGCATGAAATTTCAAATGTCGAAGCAATGTATGATGTTACATCAAAGAAAGTGTGTCAAAGAGATAATCAATAGATTCTTGATGGAAGACTCAAATCCTGCATCCTCACCTGTCGAACCAAATATGAAGTTGGAGAAGTATGGAGAGGAAGACAAAGTCGATGTCACTTTGTTCAAACAAATTGTTGGATCTCTGAGATATGTGTGCAACGGTCGACCTAATATAGGTTTCTCAGTTGGATTAGTGAACAAATACATGGATGAACCAAAGGCGTCGCACATGAAGGCTGCAAGAAGAATCCTAAGAAACATAAAAGGATCAATGAACTGTGGAATTATATTTCAACGAGATTCTGAAAGCAAAGAAGATGTGATTAATTGTTATTCAGATGTTGATTGGTATGGAGACAAGAAAAATCAAAGAAGCAGAATTGATTACTTCTTTCAAGTATTTGGTGCCCCAATCTCATGGTGCTCGAGAAAGCAACCCGTGGTGTCTTTATCATCATGTGAGGCTGACTATATAGTAGGATTCTATGTTGCTTGTCAATCAATTTGTATTAGATTTGTGTTGAAAGAGATGGAGGTCGAAGTGAAGAAACCTCTAGTGTTGTCGATCGACAATAAGTCAACTATTAATCTTGCAAAGAATCCAGTTTTACATGAAAGGAGTAAGCACATTGAGGCTAGATTTCTTTTTCTAAGGAAAAAGGTAAACCATGGTGAACACATTGCTCAAGTGAAGCACAATTGGTTGGCATTTTCACCAAAGGATTGAAGATCGACAAATTCCTAAATTTGAGAAAGAAATTAGGAATAATTCATATCGATTATAATTAGCTTGTGTTCGACAACATGGATTATAAGGGGGTATATTGTGATATAATTCAACTTGTGTAATTCAAACTCAAACCCAAGTTAATTAATGTTAGAGTTTGTTATGTTAGTTACTTAATACTAAAGTTACTTAGTTGTATATACACTCGTAATTGTAATTCAACATCTTTTTAATAATAATTACATGCAATAATAACAATATTTATAATAATTACATGCAATAATAATATTTACGCACTAACAAGACCAAATGCCATTTAAATTATTAAATAAACATTTTAAAGAAAATCAACATTATATATTTTTAACATGACAAGAATTCTACTACTCTCTTTGTACCCAATATTTATTGTATTTTTAATTTTAAATACACTAAAAAATATAATAAATAAAAGAGAAAATGATTTTATTAAGTTACTCTTGTCGATTATTGATACATTTTTATTATCATAAATGTATAGTAGAAATAGAAATTAATAAACATAAATTAAATTGTACAATTAAAAAAAAAAAGCAATTAAAGTTCCATTGAAAATTAAGTGACAATTTTTTTAGGTAATTCTTTTTTTGCAAATGACTCAATTTTGTCAAAGATAGATTATGAGTTTCTTCTGGAGCTGGAAATTTTCATTTTTAAGGCAAAGTGAGGGATTCAATTTCCATACAAAAATTATGAATTCAAACAAACACTGCAACATCAACTTTTTTAGCCATTTAAGCTCTATTGAAGATAAAAAAAAATATGACGTTAATATGTATAAACACCATAATGCAAATGCTTATTTTTGAAAAAATCACTCAAGAATAAGAGTATCTTAGAATAAAACTTTGCTCTCATCATTTTCAGACGAAAAGCACATGATTCATCATCCCAATAATATGAATACAGATAATACTGTGAAAAAATTTATTATCTTTTCAATTCAAAACACATCTCACACAGCTATAGGTTCTGTTGCTTTCTTCAGCCATGCATTTTCAGCTTCATCCAAATACGGCGCCAAAATATCTCTACACTTTGAATGATAAGAGTTCAACCAATTTATTTCTTCTGGAATTAGAAGGCTCAGATCAATTAACTTTGTTTGATACGGTGCCTGGACGGGAAACATCAAACACTTGCATCGTGAAAATCAAAACAAACATGTAATATGCTCAAACGATTACATAGCTTACGAGACTTACCCAGGTAATATGCTCAAACGATAAGTAACCTTTACCGCCGAAATTAAATTTTGTATCAGCCTCGTTGACAATAAGCACATTCTCCAATCTTATTCCAAATGCTCCATCCTCGTAGTAACCAGGTTCTAAAAGACAATTCAGATGAATAAAACCATATAAAATGATGTGCCAATCTGTTAGGCCATAGCACAGGCTATAACAATATCGAGCTACTAACCATCTGTAACAGTCATCGAAGATTGCAAAGGTACATTTCGTGCTCTGAAACTGATTAACTGAGGTCCTGCGCAAGTTATGTGATATTGATTTAAATTTTTATTTTGAATTGACTTGAAAATGGAAATAAATTGAAAAAACAATCAGAATAGGGAATAGGGAAACTGTGATAGTTCATATATACCTTCATGAACATTCAGGTAGGACCCAACACCGTGACCAGTTCCATGTCGAAAATCAAGACCATCCTTCCACAGAGGAATTCGAGCAAGAATATCAAGTTGGTGACCTACAAGAATTGTAAAAAAAAAGAAAGAAAAAAAAGGAGCTAAGTTCTCGTGTTTGAAATAGAGACTAGCTCAAATTATGCACAAAGAATTTGACACAAAAATAGTCGAATTGTGTAATACCATTTGTCCCGTTAGGAAATCTAGCATTTCCCAAAGAAATGTGACCCTTTAGAACCTGCACCAAGTTCAGAAAACCAAAGCTAATAAAAAGTTTCACTTTGCAGAAGAATCTAACACCATAAATCAAAATCTCACTTCCTATTGAGGGGAAAAACTTGGATATTAAATGATTCTTGATATAGTTTTGAAACCATATCATCTTTAGAAAAAGTAAATAAAGGCGCCACATACTGCTGTATAGCTTGCTTTTTCATGATCCGAAGGTCTTCCGAAATGTACTGTTCGTGTAATATCAGTTGTTCCGTCCAGATACTTCAGAAACATGACCAATTATTAAATATTAGAATACACCAAAACAAGAAAAGTTTCACTAATAAATAACAATCCTGACAGAATTCAGCAACTCTCTAAAATAAGTGCTAGACGGACCTGGGCTCCAGAATCGAAAAGATATATTTTGTCTGGATCAAGCTCAGCGCATGTTTCTGCCTCTGGATTATAATGACAAATGGCTGCATTTGGGCCAACTGCAGAAATAGTAGGGAAACTCAATCCTCTGAAATGCTGAAAACAGATTAGATAAAACAAAGTTAGAATCGAACACAGACCGCACTCTCAACAACATGCAAGCATATCTACTTCCACGCGTTCATATTCCATTGGGTTTATATGGAAGAAAAAAAACATTTTTTCTAGTTACTTCATTTCTATTCTCATCAAATAATATATACTAAGCAAATGCAGTCAATTTTCAATCATAATATGCTCGAGAAAATGTGGTAAAATATGATGGTAAAATAAAGTTGAAAAACAATATTATCTGTGTGACTCCACCTCTTTTGACGCTCTAAATTCTTCAAGCTTGTCACTTACGGTCACCTCAGTCAATTTCAAGGATTGCCTGTAATAGTTTGAAAATTCATGTAAGCATGGTGGACTCGCTTGGGATTTAGTAGAGCTCACATGAATTTTACTCAATAACAAAATGTTGAAAGGGCGTGTTAGAAAATATAATAAGATACTCACAAATGTTTATCCTTTTGTACAGTATTCTCCTCCGAAAAATATCCAGATGCCCCATAAATATCCTGCATCTGTAAATTGAACCAATATTCTGCATTATTAACTGACATTCAGATCTCGCCGCATAATTTGGACAACTCAAAAGAAAAATATAATATAATAATTTAGAGAAAAGAGAGTAAATGCACTCATCCAAAAATTAAAATATATTAGAGACACAACATTCAAATGAAAACCTTCTTTTCCAGCCAAACAAGATATTGCACAACAGCCGCACCGTCACGAATATGCGCCTTTCTTAACCCATCCAATTCCACTGGGTTCTACAAGTAATAAAGCAATTAACAGTAAGCGAAATTGTATGTAATAAATCCACATTAACTTTATAAAGGAGTGTAAGCATAGAACCTTTAAAGCTTTTGGAAGAGCCAGTGGTGATTGTTGCAAGAGAACTGTATCAGGGTTCAGTTTTGAATACAGAGCATAACAGCAGGAAGCTGGATCAGCCCATATGAAGTTGCTACTCTCTTCTCCTGTTTGATGTTTACCGTTTGCACTCTTGGCAGTTGACACGGAATCAAGCTCATCAGTCGCAAGCAATGCCGCATCTACGCTTACTTCTGTATATTCTTTGATTTCAATTCCATTCTCCTCAAAATGAGTTTTTACCTGGCACAAGACATAATTTTCAATAAGTTGTATTCTCAAATTAGCACCTCCTAATCTAAAGATAATAAGATCATAAATGAGATTACTCGAACTAACCTCGATAGACACCTTTTGCTTGTCCACATAAATGAAGGCAGAATTGGACGTCACAATAGCAAATGCATGAGCAACGGGACAGTATGCCACATCATTTCCTCGAATATTATACAGCCAAGCAACCTGTATTGGGTGATATTGAATAAAATGACGAAAAAAATCTTTAAAATGATGAACATTTGAGGAAGAAAATATAGTCTGATTAAAAACAAAAATTCAGGAGAAAGAAACAACAAGGACGAACTATTAAGAGGATACACTATTACACTCACTTCATCGAGTGCTGTTACTACTAATCCTTGAGCATGCTCCTGTGCAAACTTTTTTCTCAAATCTTGCAACTTATCTGTGACAGAGCGGCCTGCAAACTTTAATGGTTGTATAACGACAGCTTTAATCTCCGCTGGTGGACGATTTGTCCATATTTCATCTACCAAATTTTTTGTTGTTTGGACCAGCTTCTGTTGTTTTTTGGCAAAAGCGCGTTCCCATCTTTGAGCAGTATCAATTGAAATGCACCAAGGGTCAACCCCAATTGCTGCATCTTTTGGCAAGTTCTAGTAAATGAAAATGACTTATTAGTACAAACATCCCATACAAAAAATCATAGATAAAAAAAAAAATTGATTTTCTAAAGTCTCACATCAGCCATCCAGATATCTACAGCAGGATCTTCACCGAGACGCATTAGCTTCCATTGACCGCTAAGTTGTTGTTCAGCCTGCAAAAAATAACGTGCATCGGTCCAAAGCAGTGCTTCATTCTTTGTTATAAGTGCCAAACCTGAACACCATTTAAAAAAAATGAAAAACCCGAAATGAAAATACTTCACTATTTAGTCATGCTTGAAAATTGAAATACATAAGACCATGGCATCGCTAATATATCAAATACCACGTACAACTAGAATGGCATCATCTACCTAGATCAAATGGCACCATAATGTTATATGATCTCTAAATCTTAATAGTCTTTCTTATACTGAATAAATAGTATTAATTTCTAATACTATTTCCAACAATTCATAACTGCAAAAGCAAACAAAAAAAACAGAGAAATATTACTTTGATCATCACATCAATTATCTAAACCCTAAATTCATGTATGGTGCAACAATAAAATAAAATAAATTTAAAAAAAAAAAAAAAAACCTAATAGTTTATTGGATAGAAACTGACCAGCACTTCCGGTGAATCCAGAAACGAAAGCGCGACGTTTGTCTCGTGCAGAGACATATTCACTCTGCAAATTGAAAATTCATTTCATAAATAAAATAAAATTAAAATTAAAATTGATTACAAATAAGAGATAGAAATTAGAAGAGTGAATTAAAAAGAATTAAAGAATTGGATCTAAGAAATGAATCGATGATTGAGTAACCTGGTGATAATCTTCTGAGGGAACAATTAAGGCGTGAAGAGGTGGAGAGTGAGAAGCCATGGAAGACCTCAAAGCAGAGAGTGTGTCTGCCATTTTCGTTTTGGTTTCTCAGTCTTACGGCTTATGACTTTTTGAGATTTTCTGTAAAAAATGACAAACAAAAAATGACGACAGGTTTATATAGAGTTAATAGAAAGTACAATAGTTCACTTTAAAATGTAAAACACTCCGTTCCGAACTTGTGTATTTAATCTAGAATCAAATACATTACGTAATATCCTTTTTAATAAATACTTTATTTTACAATTATAAATATTTGTTATATGTTAGATATTTTTTTAATTAATATTTGTAATGGATAATATCAACTATTGATTTGCTGATCTTATTAATATATTGTACTAATAAGAAAGTAAAAGTATATGTGTGGTATTTATGGTGGTATTTGAAGGTAGAAATAGGATAGGTTAAGATAAATTTTTAGAATCGCTAAGTTAGAGTTTGTGATATGGGTTATTATAGATTTATAAGGTTTAAGTTTGGCATAGAGTCTACTATAGATTTTTTTTTATGGTGTTACATTTTTTTAGAAGTCTATTTAAAAATTTATTTTTTATTAAAATTTTTAATTAATCTATATTACTTAAGAAATTTTATATGTCAGTTTATATATATATATATATATATATATATATATATATATATATATATATATATATATATATATATATATATATATATATATATATAAACTAACATATTTAGCATTTTTTTTAATATATATATATATATATATATATATATATATATATATATATATATATATATGTAAGTTAGTTTATTTAACATTTTTTCTAATATATATACATACATAAGTCAGTCTATTTAGACTATTTTTAAAATATATAAAAATATAGATTAGTCTATAAGGTTTCATAGGCTTTTTTAATAGCCTAAGTGTGGCCTATTTAATTAAATAGGTTTTTAAAAAAAACTTAAACCTGATTTTTTTATTATTAGGCCAGACCAGCCAGGCCTTAAATAGGCTAGGCTATAGGCCCCTATATGTCGGTCTGACCTATTTCGATCCCTAGTGGTATTAGAGGCCAGTTCACGTGAGATAGAGGCTCTGTGTATTATACGATATGTCGTTAAGTTAGGATTTTCCTTTTCTATCGTTAAGGGAGAAGTATTTATATAATCCCTTGGGCCTAGGGTTTTTATGGGAATGATAATCATCCACTTAGTCAACGTAGTGAACCGTTGAATGTGGATCAACTATTAACTTTGACTTCTCTCTGCCTAAGAAACGTCTTTCTCCAAGTTTCTCATAATTGGGCGAGGGGTGCTTAGGGTGAGGTGATTCTCTTTGAGGGCGACATATGGTATTCGCCCCCTCTGAGGGATACAACCATCCCACCTTTACAAGGGATTTTAGAAACATAACATTACACGGTTCCTCAAGCACATGGACTTTAATAAAGGGTGAAATGTTTTTAGACTATATAGTGTTTGAGTCTCCTGACACCCTATATTTCTTGGTGTTTGGCTTGACGAGCCAAATTGACTAAGCTTTGAGTCCTTCAGGCAAGATATTGACCTCTCAAGCGGGACTTTTATCAGACCCTCAGACGAGAAACTAAGTCGCTTAGGCTAGACTTCAGTCACGTCTCAAGGGAGATATTCATGTGTTGCATTCCGCTCGACAAAACTCTAAGTCCCTCAGGTGAGGATTCTATATGGCATGTTCGCTCGGAACTTTTAGTCCCACAAAGGAAGTTATATTAAGCTTGATAATGATGATACTATAAGTCTCTCAGGAGAGGCGTTAAACCTCTCGGGCGGGAGTCCTATCGGGACCTCAAACGAGACTCAAGTCTCTTATACTAGACTTAAGTTGCGCCTCCAGGGTAAGATTCATGTGTTGGATCCTATCTGATGAAACTTTAAGTCCCTCAAGCGAGGAGTTTAGATAACATGTTTGTTGGGAACTCTTAGTCTCACATGCAAAGTTATATAAAGCCTGATTAAGGATATTATAAGTCACTTAGGCAAGGTGATAGACGTCTCGAACGAGACTTCTTCAAGCCCTTAGACAAGACTTTAAACTAAGTCTCTTATACTAGACTTCGGTTGCGCCTCTAGAGCAATGTGTTGAATTCTGCCCGAGGATACTTTAATTCCCTCAAGTGAGGAGTTTAGATAGCATGTTTGCTGGGAACTTTTAGTCCCATCTGCCAAGTTTTATTAGATTTGATTGATGAGACTATAAGTCCCTCAGGAGAGACGTTGAACCTCTCGTATATGACTTCTATCAAGTCCTCAAAGAAGACTTCAGTCGCGCCTCCAAGGCAAGATTCATGTGTTGGATCTTGTAACACCCAAAATTTCCCCCGTAATATTTACGTAAAAAAATCAGAGTAATTAATTCAACACACACACAACTTAGGATGTTACGGTCAACATACAAAATTTGCTCATATGATAGACTATGTAACACTTATTTTATAATATAATCATAAACCCTGAACATTACATTTATTGCAGCGGAATGAAAAAAAAATCATTTATCGTCTCATGGTATATAAAAGTTATCGTGGAATTACATAATGCATTAAAATAACAACTGAACATAATAAGAGATGTCCACAATCTCAATGAAAACTACAAATCAAAAACATGTTCCAGCGACTCCCCAGTGTTACAATCAGAGCAGACGTCAACTATAAAGAAAAAGAGTAAGGAGACTCCGTCTTCAACTCACATCTAAGTCCTACTGTGGAGTATCTACACATTGCCCATATGGAGGCAATACTCAAACAAAATGGGTGAGATATCATGATAATATAAAGGAAAACATGATAAACAATATGCATTAGGATATCACATGAATTGTCATCCAATGTACAACACATCATACTCAACACCAACAACAAGTTACCCAAGCATAAGGATATCACAACAACAATTTAGCTAAACATCCCATATTAATCCACCAACAACATCATTACTAATTATTTCCCCAACCAACAAGGAATCAAGTAGTAGCAAGTCCAATTAATCATACAAAATCACATATTTAGTAACATAGCAACATATATAATGCAATGAGACTCACAACCTGACTCAATGCATATGTATATGGTACCAATTTTTGTGAACACTCAAGTTCACCGTTTTGATCCCCACCTCCTAGGATCAGAATCACTCACTGATCCATCACCTCTAGAATCAGCTACCGGCTCAATCCACACAATGGGATTTTAGACTCACCAACAACTGACCATTGTCCACAAATATATGCAACGCAACTATTTATGCATACAACAACGATAACATCATCATGCACAATAACCCACCAACATGGTTATTGTACGCCACCCAAATTGACCAACAGACATAAAATATATTTCGTATAATATATGTATTTTTTTGCAATCTTAACAATTAAAATAATCACATTCGAAGTAACGCATTATACCATGCAACATTATAACATAACCTCAATCATACCCAACAACAAAATATCACTTCTCAGGTTCTACAACCCACTTAAAATGAAAGTATATGCCCTTGGCTTCACGCTGCTTTGAACGGTGCCTCAAACGGACTTACAGATCAAAAGTTACATGCATTTTGTCATCACTCGCTACATATTTAGTATATATATTTTGTATTCCAAAAGTGTGTGTGTATATATATATATATATATATATATATATATATATATATATATATATATATATATATATATATATATATATATATATATATATATATATATATATATATATATATATATATATATATATATATATATATATATATATATATATATATATATATATATATATATATATAAACACACTTTTGGAATACAAAATATATTTTCATATGTTAAAACTGATTGAATTTAAAATACGCAAAATTAATTTTGTAAATGAGTTAAAATAAAGAATTAAAATTGTTATTCAATATATCTATTATTTTTAAAAATAAATGTCTAATAATATTCTTATTAACTATTTGGAAATATTAGTAATCAGAGTTAAATAGTTACTATTTAGTATTTAGACTATTAAAATAATTATTTATAATTAATTTATATGTATAGATGTGTAACTTTTTATATGTTCAATTAATTTTAATATTTAAATGATTGAAGTCATTTTATTTGAATTATATATATTAAATATAATTTGAATGATAACACTCAAAGGTTGGTCTGTTGGTGACGACTTGTGTCATGAGTGTGTCTCATTTTAAGGTTTCGGGTTTGAATCCTGCTAGGTGCTAAAAATATTTGTATTGGTCATCCCTGTTTTTAAATGGACCCCCACTATTTTTTGGCAAATTTGGTTGAATGATTACCCCTAAGGAATGACTTGTTGGTGAAGACTTAGGTTTTAAGAATGGCTCATTTCAAGGTTTTAGGCTCGAACCCCATTAAGGGCTAATAATCCTTGTGTTAGGACATCCTTACCTTTAAATGCCCCCTTCACCCTACTAGTGGATGGTGAGATTAGTTGAATGATAACCCTCAATGGTTGGCCTATTGGTGAAGACTTGGATCGTGAGAGTGGGTCCTTGCAAGGTCTTATGTTTGAATCCCACTAGATGTTAACAATCCTTGTGTAAAGCCAGCCCTGGCTATAAATGGGCCCTTTCTATTGGAGGATGGGATTGGATGAATGATAACCCATAATGGATGACTTGTGGTAAACACTTGGGTCCTAAGAGTAGCTATTCTCAAGGTCTCAGGTTCGAATTTTGCTAGGTGCTAACAATCTTTGTGTTGGTCAGCCCTGGCTTTAAATGGGCTCCTCGCTAGTTGACTGTGGGATTATTTGAATGATAGACCTAAGGGTTGACATGTTGGTGAAAATGTAGGTCTTGAGAGTGACTCCTTTTAAGGTCTCAAGTTCGAATCCCACTAGGTGCTAATAATTCTTGTGTTGGGTCAACCTTGACTTTAAATCCCCCCCCCCCTCTAGTGGACGATGGGGTTGGTTGAATGATAACCCCCAAGGGTTAGCCTTTTGGTGAAGACTTGGGTCTTGATATGGGCTCATTTCAAGATCTTAGGTTCGAAT